TTTTGCTTGAGAAGTAATTTTGTTTAAATGCAGATAAATATTTTATTTATATAAATTAAAATGACTAATTAATTGTCAAACTTAAATTGATTTACCTCCCTTTCCAATACAACTGGGACAGGAAATATATAAAATACATATTGATAGTTATATGATTTCATGATTGATGTTTGAAATTGTTTTACATTTTAGTTTATAGAATTTATTTATTTATATTTTTATGTTTAGTAAAATACAGAGAAAATTTTTATTTTTCAAATGAATTTTTATTGTTTTATTCTTTATGAAAGACTTTCTTGTTGGGGTTGTGTGAAAAATTTGAGCTTCTAAAGTTTGAAAAGCAATAATATGTAAGTACCAAAAACTATAACATGGGATATTGTGTTTCTACTTATTCATTTTGATAGAAATTTGTCCCCCAAAGCAAATAGGCAGTATTTTATATAATTAAAAACTTATAATGGTTTGATTCTAAATAGTTAAATGTTACTTTAAGTAAAGTGCCTGTTTTATAGCTTAACATTGAATTATTTTTCTGCTTTCAGTCTGACTTTATTTTACATACTATTAACATGTTTTGACTTTTATAGACTGACCTTGTTTTTCTAAGATGTAACAATATACACTATTTACATTGTTTGGACTGTTGTCCTCATCTTTTTTTGTTATATTCATGTCGTTTTGGCCGTTGTACATGCAGGCGTTCTTCAGGTGATAGATGTTAGAATTTCAAACCAAACCTTTTATTTCGTCCACCAGAGTAGATTGTTCTAGTTTCACATGCCAGTGGATAAAACCATTGGTTGAAGTAATCCAGTGACTTGACCCAAAGAGTTGTGAGTTCAATACCTGGCCCCAGCAGAGGTGAACAAAAACTTGGAGAGTTAAGTTACTAAAGGGAAATTACTGAAACTGAGATATCCGGAAAAGGCATGACACGTGGAACTAGAACAATCTACCCCAATGGATGAAATAAAGGGTTCAGTTTGAAATTTCAATGTATATCACCTGAAGAAGGCTGGAGTGCACAATGGCTGAAACATTGTGAATATGGCAATAAGTATAAGGACAACAGTTCAAATGATGTAAATAGTGTAAATACACCTTGTTTTTTTGTTTTTCTTTTTTCTTTACTATTTGTGAATTTTTTTTTAACAATGCTGATTTTTCAGGAATTAATTACTTCAAAATATATGCATTTTAAATTCATAAAATAATTTCAAATTTCATTTTTAATATTGAGCTTTTATTTTTATCAACTTCCTGGCCTGTCATTTCTGTTTCATTTCTTTTTAAGTCATTTTAATTTGGACAATGTTTATTTTCAGTTGTTTTGTAATTGCCTCAGTTGTTAATACAAAATATCTATTCATCGCAACATTCTTTCTTTGTAGCCTTCAGGCCTTCTCGTAAGTAGTAATGGTTGCAGCCCGTTTTGTCCCTGCTCCTGTTCTTTGCTTAATTGATCAAATTCGACTAGACATTGCGAGTTACCTCCCTTCCTTGCAGTTAGCACTGCATGACCTTCATAATCCCTTGGCTATTTTGGTCACTGTTTTTGCACTGCAGGTAGCAGTTTTGAAAGATTTAAAAAAAAAAAAAAAACTCTCATTACTTTCTTAAAACCATGTTAATTATTAATATCATTATATTTTGCATATATAATTTACATGGAATAAATATTAAAAGAATAATAAATTTACAAATTTTATGCTGAAAATTGCATTCAAATTAAGAGAAAGTTTCTTTATTTTAAATATTTAATCTGGTTGATAATGTTCACTGTTTTTTAGATTTTTTAATAGTTGTAGAGTAGTTTTAGTTTTCAATCTTAGAATCGCATATACATTTGTTCCAAAAGTGATCCAACAATCTTTTTTTTTTTATTACTTTTAACTTTAACATATATTTGCCTACTGAATGATAGCAGCATGTTTTTATGCCTTTTGTAGTTATTTTATTATTTTTTGTGATATTTTGTCAAATTGATTGTATCAATTTTTTTTTTTTTTTTTTTTTTTTAAATATTTACTTTTAAAAATTTTCTGAAAATTAGATTGACTAACAGTTTTTTGTTTAGATTAAAACATTTAAATGTGATATTTCTTATAATCTTGTGGATATCTACATTTAGGGTTAATTTTTTTTCAATTTCTTACATCAAAATACAGCATGGAAATTAATTTAGGAATTAAATAACTCTTAAAGTGAATTTATTTTTTGAATATTTTTTAATCTTTCTATTATCTGTAAAATATATACAGTATGAATTTTGAATCTATTCTGACATCAGTATTTAAATTAAATATATTCTTGTAGATACTTACCTTTGGCCATAAATTTTCCTTTCCTCCCACTTAACTTTTTAATTTATTTTAATATAAATATTTGAATGGATTATTATATAAGCCTATTATGTTTTTATATACAAGCAGGTGTAAGAAATCTAATTTGTTCTGCATGTTTAAGGAAAATGATTTTGTTATTTGTAATTGCATTTCTAATTTATACAAATTTATTTATTTTAACTTACTAAAACCTATTTTGCATGTACTCTTTTGCTTTGGTTCATGCTAGAATCACAAGAGTTATAATTAGTGCCCATTTAGATGTTTAAAGAGTAAGGGATTATAAGTTATAAATGTTAATGTGTTTGTAGATTAAATGGCCATGGTTAAATCTAATTGGCAAAAATGTCCAACAAAAAGAATTGACAAAGTTTGCAAGAGAAAAAATGAACAATGCAAAAATATTAAGCAAGCAAACAATATATGCAAGCCAAAACAACAGTAATAAAACAAAACATTCACAAACTAAGAATAGTGTTAATACACAAAAGTGGATAGAGACAAGTGATTGCAGTGTCATGCTTCAAGACAAGAAAGAACAGAACTAAGTCAGAACATACCAAGTAGTGACCTATCTTATTGGCAAGAAGAAATCCCAGCATGCATCTGTGTGTTTTGTTTATAAATTTGGAGAGGGAGAGGTTTTTGCAGTCATTTTTTGTAATTGGAACCAATGGTGTTATTTTATAATTTCTTCATAACTTGCTGAATGCATCCGATAAAACATATACAAAATTATCCTCTTAAGGTTGATTTTAAAAATTAAAAATGTAAGATTGCAAATTAAGCAATGGATATATCCAAGGTGTTAACAAAAAGGTTTAGAGCTGCATACATAGACTTTGACTGTTACCCTTTGTTAGCAGTAACCTCACAAGTATTTGCCACAGTTTTCTTTGAAGTCCTATTTTGAGGCAGTCAGGAGAAATTCAGGGTAATGGTAAGTCAACTGTCAAAGTTTTTGAATATTTAAGTAGCACTTCTATGATTTAATAATTGAAAATATTTCATTAAAATATTTCTCCCTTAAATAGAATCTATGAGATTATTGTGCAAATGAAACTTTGCAACATTGGAAACTGTCTGAAATTTAGTGATTTGTTACATATTTAAAATAAAATTAATTTATGCCAATTTAATTAATTTTTTTCTAAGACTATAAATTGTATGGAATGATTTCTATTTATTTATTTTACTGCAAATGACCAAATCAGTTCTTACTTGTCAATATAAAAAGGTAATTCTTCGGAGTTTCAAACTGAATTACTGTTTTGGTTTTCTCAATGTTCAAAATATTTATTGTTAATTGCTTTTTGCTTTGTTCATATGTTGGCTTGAGTATTAATTCAAATTGCTGCATGAGGATTACTTGCAATGGTTCAAATCACACACACACACACACACACACACACACACACACACACACACACACTCTCTCTCTCTCTTGTTTTAATAATTGGTATTTTGATGGCTTAAGTAAAATGCATTTTATGAATTAAAATATGGGAAGACAGTATATCAATTTTAGAGAAAAAAAACTATGAAAACTTTTTCCACTTTGTCATAGCTTTTTTTCATAAAATTAAAATATGCAGATAATTTCTCATAAGTTAGTTGAAAATTTATGTTGGGAATTTTTAGCTGAGGAATTATCATTATTATATGCTCTGCTATTTTGATCAGCCTGATTGTCTTAATTGTTCTACCACCTGAATATGCAAATTAAGTTTAAGAGTTAAAAAGACAATTGCACCACTAGATTGTTAAAGAGGCACACAGTCTAGTGAATGAAAGCATTGGTTAAAACACATTTGATTCCCTGAAAGTTGTGTATTCAATTCCTAGGTCTGATAGTATTAAAATATATACCTCAGTTCAGTGGAAGAAATAGACAAATTAGACAAAGAGGATTAAGACTGTTGGATATTAATTGATATGAGTTATCTTCTCTAAGCATAGAAAGCAGAATGGGAACAATCTAACCCAATTGATTGAATAAAGGGTTCAGTTTAAAATTCCAAGAAGGTTACTGAGTATGGTAGACTGAAGAGGATAGCATCTGAAATGTATAATCACCAAGATGAGCATGCTGGTGCAAATAGTAAGCTTTAAAATAATTAATTGAAAATATTATAAATTTGAGATGACATCATAATTGGAAGGCTATTTACACTTTAGCTTCTCAAAACAAAAATCCCCAAAACACATAATGAACAGATGAACAGAAAGTGAAATTGTTTGAAAGCAAATAAATTCTGTTACAGTGTATAAAATTTTTATCAATATTTTTAATTCTCTTCTTGAATGAATCTGAGATTCTAGATGAAGAGAATTCTGTTAATGCTGAATTGACCTCGTTTTTGTTTTTAAAGGTTTTGTCACTTAGAAAATATTCTATTGATTTGATTAAATAAAAGTCTTCAGGTTCCAAGCCTAATGAGTTAGGAGAATGTTGTAAAATAACTCAATGATTTCATTTTCTCCTGAGTTTAGTGTACTGAATCTAGGCTTGTATTATCCGTCTTCAAAAGGACAAACTTCCTGTTGACCAAAGCTGGAAATATGGAAATGCTAATCTTTCCTCTTTATTCTTTTTATTTTTTATTTTACAATTTATATGAGTTAAATATTTTGTCTTAATTTTTGAGTGTTATGGCCACATCATATTGAAACACTGGTTCCTGTATGATCCCAGAAGTTAAGCAACATCAAGCCTGGTCAGTACTTAGATGGGTAACCACTTGGAAATAATATCAGGTGCTGTAAGCTTAGATGTGTGGCTTGCTAGCCTCTTGTTACTCTATCACTATTTTCAAGACAGTTGTTCAAATGATCTACATTCCTTAGTTCCACCATTTCGGACCTTGACAGCTAGGACCTTCCATGCTACGTATCTTGACTTATCCTTATTCCTTTCATATTTCATTGTTAAGGAGGAAGTTCCACTCAGACAACTAACTTTCTAAAAACTGCTACTTTGTGGAACAGCTCCTGAGGGGATACTTCCCCAATCACTATGATGTTGATCTCTTCAAGTCTATAGTCATCTGTTATCTATCCTACATATCCTCATAGTCAGGCAATTATGTGCCATGCGTGATGCACGCTTAGGCGGTCATGTATCTTTTGATACATGACTGACGAGGCAGATTTTTTCCGCAGTAGGTTGCCATTTCTTTCTGCGGTAGACTATTTGCCATCCAAGGCTATAGGATCCAGTCTGTCCTGCTATTTACCTATAGCTGGGGGAGAAGAAGAGTATTCATACCTTTCCCAAGGGTATTAGCATGTATGACTTCTTATTTCCTCTCTTTACACCATTACAATAAAAAAAAAGTCTCTATCTTTAGCTCTTGAGCATTGTATTGGCTAATTTATTAATTATTAGTTTTACCTTAGTGAATTCTGGCAAATCCCAGACGTCTTCTGGTATCGTAAAAGTTGATTTTCGATATATAATATTCTAATTATATTTAATATGTGCCATGTTAGAAATGTATTCAGAAATCTACCATTGCCTGCGATTTTGATGGGTTTTGACTGTAAAAAGTAACACATTGTTTTCTGGTCTGTTAGTAAGATCTCATGGCAACCTTCATTGAAGCGACGAAAGGGAAGAACTCACAAATTTCAAAAGTAGAATATTTTGCATCAACATAGGACTTAACGGATATTGTAATAGATAGTGGCTAAGAACTTGAAATCTGTGAGTTGAGTTCAGTTACATTCAATATCATGAAAATACAATTGGAAAAGGTATGAAGCCATCTCTTCTCCCCCCCCCCAAGCTATATGCTAAATAGTAGGGTACACTGAACTCTTCACTTTTAGTTGGCAAACAAAACTAGGAGAAAAAAGTAGTAAAAAAAAAATTATCCTTGTAATATCACTTTTTCACTGAACTGGAGTATACGTTATCATCTTTCTCTGTTGTAAACTCATGGTTTAAAGAGGTAAAAGAAATACAAATGTATTTTATTTAGAAATTTTGACATGTAGTTTAGGTTGCCATTGAGTCTTTTGATCTCTATCCACTTTGTTTGTCTCTTTGGGTAAAGAGGGTTACTTAGTATAGATTTGTGTAGATGAGTTGAGATTATGAATCGACTGGCCATGATCTATTTTGAAGTCTTTTATTTTCTGCTTTCAGAAAGTATAACATCAAAGATTTCGAATTTATTAAAACCAACAGGGATTGTTTGATAATTTTAAATGAAAAAATGTTTCAGTGAATGCTGTAGAATTTTGTATAAAGTGTTTCTAAAGGTTTCCTAATATGATCTGCCCTAAACCATACTTTATCATTGTATGGATGCATAATAGATTAATGGATAGATAGTGAATTCGAATTCTAGTTATGCTTGTTGCAATCACTTACGTGCAAATTAACTATATGTTAAAGAGTAGGGTAGACTGAACTCTTCAGTTTTAGTTGGTAAACAAAACTAGAAGGACAACTCTGAATCCCAAACCGTATATAGCTCAGTCATAACATATACCAGGGGTGGCCAAACTTAAAATGTAAGAGCAACATACGATAAAGTTAAGATGTTTGAGAGTCGCAAGACATGAACAAAATTTATACATACGTTTTTGTTACATACACATGTGACAACTCTCACTCTCCTCTTCCCGGCGCACCCAAAACTTTAATCCCTTCACCTATGACCTCAGTCTTCTGACATTCCTCTGTAACATTTACTGACCGGAAATTTTTTTAATCCCTCTGCCTCCCACCATTCCTTCCCTCAGCACTAAAGAACAATGCCTCACACAGATCTAGCATTAAAATTAGGATTTAAATTCTTAAATATTTTTTACTAACCCTGAACATTAAACTTACGTTTTAATCCAATGGGGTCTCAATTCATATCCAGTAAATAAGCATAAAGCTTATCATTTTTTTTTCTTATTTACCTTTTATATTGACTGTAATGAAAAAAGGAGCTCAGTCAACATATTTCCACGAGCCACATATTAAAATTCAAAGAGCTAAATGTGGCTCGCGAGCCTCGGTTTGGCCACCCCTGGCATATACTATGCAGCAAAAGAAAGGATCGTGCAGTTCACAATGACTCCATGATCCCGACTGCTGTCGATCTGATGGATGAAGTGATGGGTTGCCAATCTTTGACTTGGTATAATGTTGCACCAACAGCATACCGAGTAATATATCAATATAAACATCCGATTGCACGTGGTCTTAGGTCAGTTACATTACAAACTTATTACAAACAATATTAGTTAAGAAATCTTCTTTCCGAATCGGATAACTCGAAAGAAAATCTGGGAAATAATTCTAAATATTCAACAAGAAATTTTGGCATAATTGGAGATAAGTTTACGCCCCAAAACAGTGACGTGCAAGATTTGGTTAGGGCCGGGGCCAACTTCTTGATTGTATGCCCCTAAGACTCAAGTAGGGGGACCTACTCTGGTCTCGCATATCAAAACACTGATGCACATTCACATCAGCTTGTGGGGACTGTAGGGCGCTTGCATAACGAAGTTAACAATTTCAAAAACTATATTTTTATTTCACTCTTTGATTGGCTGTCCGAAGCACTCGCACCATTTGCCTACCACTTCTGTACGCTTCTGCCCCCAAACCTACATAAACTCTTAAAATCTTTTTCGTATGGAAAAGATTTCAATCCATTAACTTTTTATCAGAAGGCAAACATATTTCTGCACTCATATATGAATCCCAAATTTAAATTAAAAATATTTAAAGGTACATTCCGACAAAGAAGTTATGTTTTCATGCAAAAACTTTAAAATATTCTAAACCATGATAGGCAAACTTATCTACTCCTATTCAGAAAGCTGTAGCTACTGTTGTATTAAGCACATTGTGATAAGCTGAAGTCTAATTTGGTAAATGAGTCGCTATTATTAAGTATAAGACCTCTATCACTTTTTGTAATACTATTCAGTATACAGTAACCACTGTAACATCTTTAATGGCCGTCAGATTTTTAAACCAGATTAAAGGGATTTTACTATTCACTTTAAGAAGGGGATATCGAATCAAGGTTAAAAAAAAAACAAAACAAAACTCACAGGCAAAAATGAAACCTGACAAGGTTAGTACACAGCTGACAAAATCCCAGCCTCTTGTCCCAAAAGTGGACAACATTCCAGTTTCATAAATAAATTGAAAATTCAAGGAACTTTTTAATTTTTTCTTAAGAAGTCGGGTCTTATGGGATACTACATCAATATGGAATATATCGAATATGTGACCATATAGCATTACCAGAAAACGTTTTTTATGGCTTAATTTATCTTCGTATACGATCTCCGTGGTTTGTTTACGTTTTAACTGCAATCTTTAAAAAGCACCCTTCTTAAGGATTCCTTCATGGAAATTCGGATCTTATGGGATACTAGGACTTCCTAACTATGAAATATATCGAATATGTGACCATAGCTTTGTTAGAAAACTTTTTTAAGAGGTTGGGTCGGTTTATGAATTTCTGTTTCAAACAGAGGGGACCCATAAACTTGTGAAGTACTCGACAGAATATAGATGACTTTTTTTTAGCAGCCTCTATAAATTCATTCTGACTTTTTTCTTGCCAAAATTGTTTCTTTTCTTCCTGTGACTTTATTACCGGCCACAAGGGATATCATCCCGGAATTGTGAATTAAAAAACAAAAACAAAACACATTCTACTGGTGCTGCTTTGGATTTTTCTTAAGAAATTTGTCTACTTTGTGCAAAAACTGGAACATTGCCTCCTCTCTCTAGCCTCTACAATATTTTCCAGGCGTGTTTCCATGAACTGACATACTTGGGTATTTTCTTATCAATTCACTCACAAATGGAAGAAGACTAACATTAACAATTAAATTGATCGAAGGTGTAGTTACATTTAAATCAGTCTTCCTTTCTGCAATATTGTCTTGTATAATATTACTTTTACACACAGTAAATAAGTTCAAAACAAAAAAAAAGGGTCACAGTCCAGTAAATGATTAGCGACATCAGTGACCACAAAAGTCCATTGGGATGATCTTTTAACCAATGAATTCGAAATTCCAGATTCGCCTGTCCTTGACATTCTCTCACCAATGGCGAATGAGATTGACATAGGATTTAGATCCGAAATAATTCTTCTGTCCACTAGAGAAATTAGTAATATAAAAATTCTAGCACCGGTATCATTAAATTTTATTTTGGTGCAACGATTACCAGAAGCGGTCGGTTGCCAGAGCTAATGCAGTCTGCCCAATTAATTTTTCGCGTCGCTAGGAACATGAGTGGATGGTTGGTTGGGACCTGGTTAATATTTCAAGGTTGTTTTGCTTCTTTGTTCATTTAATGCAAATTTACATATTCTTGTTTTGTAGGCGTCAAAAATAAAATGTGAGCTTTGCATATTTGAATTATTTACAATAGGGTCTGTGTGACAATGTTTTTGTTCTTGTTTTACAACAAAGATTGTGGCATTTTAGTTCATTTGTTAGTGTGCCTAATGTGAGGTAATGACAAGTGCTATAGATGAAGATAATGCGTGTAGAATTTCGTATTGTACTTTCTTCACTGAAGCCGATACAATCTTCTGTCGATAATATTTCTTCTGACTAAACTGTTGACTATTCTGAGATTTCAGTTGTCTTCATAAGCTCTCAAAATAGTTTAAATTAATCTTATGTTTTGAGAATCTAGCATTGGTTATATTCAGACAATTGTCCTCAACTTTGTTGTTGTAATCACAACGTTTACAGTCGTTGTGCCCTCCGACTTTCCTCAGACCTGGG